AATAAGTATAAATCCCAGACAATGGTTATTTGTCAGGAGTGCAGCTGTAACCTTCCCCTTAAAGCTCCCTTTGAAAGTGCTTCCAGAGAACATGAAGGCACAAGTAGCTCATGGATCAGCGAGCTGGTCACTGTTACATGAACACCATGACAGGTCCTAAGGTCATGGCGGGAAGCTAATCCCTTCTCAGAAAAAGGATTAGAGATTACACTTGAGGTTAGAAAGCCTGAGAAAGCTGCAGGCCGTCCTGAAAGAGGAGAAGGCAAAAGAGGAGGGGAGAAGCTTTTCTCTCTGTTTTTGAGGTGATTTCCAAACCAATACATTAGCTCAGCAGTGAGGTGGCTGGTCACCCCAACACACTGTGAAACCAAATCCCTCTGCTCAGAAAAAGTCCACTTCATTTTGTCCACCACAGAACAGAGAAAGGAGTCACAGATATTAACCTGTGACCCAGGGTCAACCAGTCAGTCCAAACTGGAACAATTAACTGAGTTCTACTGTGTTGTATTGTACTTAGTCATATTGTACTTAATACTGTACAATGATAATGTAATACTTTTTAATAATGACAATCTGGGTGGTAGTTATAATATTCATGTAGTGAGGGTGGGGGAGAGGCCGTTCCAGAACTCCAGAGGAGCAGACGAGGGGGCCCCAGTCCAACCACCCAGTGCCACAGTCGGGGGCCCACGCAGCAGACAGCTGTGGTGGCCTGGCACCCCCTGTGCCGTGCTCGATTGCACTGCATCGTATTTTACTTTGTCGTATTGCACTGTCTATTGTACTTTCTTGCATTGTACTGTGTTCTACTGTACTTTGTCGTATTGTATTTTGTCGTATTGTCCTTTGTCGTATTATACTTTGACCTATTGTACTGTGATGTATTGTACTTTGTTATATTGTACTGTTGTATTGTACTTTGTCATTTTGTACTGTTGTATTGTACTGTTTTGTATTGTCATTTGTACTGTTGTACTGTGTTGTACTGTACTTTGTTATATTATACTTTGTCGTATTGTATTGTGATGTATTGTACTTATTGTCTTATTGTACTTTGTCGTATTGTGCTTTGTAGTAGTGTACTGTGTTGTACTGTAATTTGTCGTATTGTACTATCGTATTGTACTTTGTCGTATTGTACTGTGTTGTCTTGTACTGTTTGTGTTGTACTTTTTCATATTGTACTGTGTTGTATTACATTGTGTCATATTGTGCTGTGTGATATTGTACTGTGCTGTATTGCAGTTTGTTGTATTGTATTGGGTCGTATTGTACTTGGTTGTATTGAACTGTGCCGTATTATACTTTGTTGTATTGTACTGTTTTGGATTGTACTTTGTTGTATTGTACTGTGATGTATTGTACTTTGTCATATTGTACTGTGCTCTATTATACTGTACTGTGCTGTCATGTACTGTGTTGTGTTGTTCTTTGTTCTATTGTACTGTGCTCTATAATACTGTGTTGTACTGTGTTGTATTGTTTTGTAGTATATTGTACTGTGTTGTACTTTACTTTGTCATATTGTATTTTATTGTACTGTACAGTGTCTTATTGTCCTGTGACAGTGTTCAGATGAACCACTCAGACATGTCCAGTCACCACACGTGCACCTTTATTGGCTCCATGCTCACAAACACTGTAACAACACCACATGAACTGCTGGTGACTCTTTCATGAAGTGAATGATTTCTGTTAATGTTCACATTGAGAAATCATCTGTAACATGAAAGGTTAAGATTTCCCACCTCTACAGACATGTATAAATGTATATTTACATACAAGTGGCGCATCAACAAATGTAACACAAGTTGGCACAAAACTGGCATGCAACAGTTTGAGTTTCACTTGTAATTGAGTTAAAACAAAAGCCTGAACAATGTTATCTGACACAAGATCAAAAACTTCTAACATACAAAAGACAAGAAGTAAGAGACTCTACGGCCTCCAGTACACTGTACATGCTAACACAGCATCTTGTCACTGAGAGATGGATGAGAGACATGTCAGAGGTGATTAAACATAGGAAGTGGGATCTACATACATCAGCTTCACTTCATGTTACTACTACTTCCTGTGTACATGTTGTTTCATTGCATTGTCGGAAAGACAGTGCAACCTCAAAACATATTGGTCAGACTTCAGTCACAATGGAAACATGTTTCTCTCTAACAGCCTTGGTACATGTAGTAAAGGAAGCTTCTTAGAAAACACAGTAAAACACTCAGTAAAACAACATCAGGCATCATCATCATCTGGACAAACCAGACCAGGTTGGAGTTAACCCCAGCCATAACCCAGGTAAAGCTCCTACTATATCTTCTGTCAGCATTTGCATAGTCTGGTGTTAAGGCAGACAATGTTAAACGACTGACTCTCAGAGCTGTTCTGTCACATCAGAGCTACAGTTTCATAGTGACAGACTGAAGTCACTGTCATCAACAAGTAATCTGTCCACACCAGACCCTTCAGCCTTGTGACAGTCTGAACCATGGTTACTACAGAGACACTGTAGTGCAGGTTTCTGTCAGCACCAACAAAGAGTCAGAGTTATATCAGGCTGCAGTCGAAAAGTCCAAATAATCTCCTCTCTAACCACTTCTCCTCGACATTGATGGAAAATGTCATTAGGTCATTAAGAAAAGAATCTGACTGCACTTCCACTATGATTTTTTTTCTCTAACTAACTTTATTTATAACACATGGATGATAAAGTTTCCAAACACAAAACAAACAGGCCTGAAATGTTGAAATAAGATAAATATAAAGAAATATACATGTAGAGAAAGTTGAGCCATTAAAATAATATTTCAATGAAAATATGGAACTGAACAAGAGATCAGAATAAATTATATTCAGATATAAGTACATAGTTTCCTGACATAAACACTTTTGACATTTTCATACACAGAAAATTCATTTTTAGCCATTGTTCCTTATGCATTCCACAATGGGAGGGGATGTAGTGAAACAACAACATGTATAGACTATAGTATTTTGTTATGATGATGTTATTATCAACTATAAATTCAGTCTGTTTGTTCTTCATGATGACTCCTGACTGATTTAAAGAGAATAAATCTATATTTATGGATTAGGGCTTCAGTCAATCAGACAAGGATTTCCATCAGTTCTGGATCAAGTCACAAACATAAAACAGCTGCTCTGATGTTTCTACATTTATGTGGGTCTGCTGTGGTGAAACTACAATGGTGTGTTGCTTTAAATGTTGCTGCATCAAAGAATTGTGGGACGGCATTTCTCCTTTCATTCCATAGAGGAAGGTCCAGTGTTTCCTATGCTAAAGGAGATAAGATAGGAAGCATTGAAGCTTCTTTCCTTTTCATTTAGGGAAGTGGACCAGCTGTGATCATGGCTGCTGCTCAGATACTTCAGCTCATTTCACTCAGTTTCAACCTTCATAAGAAAAAAAGACTTTTCGACTGCAGCCTCAGTCTCACTCACTCCCCCTTTAAAGGTTTCACAACAAGGTCAAAGCTGAGCTCTGGCTGCAGAGTGCTGGATCATGGCACACAGTGATGCTGTAGCTGATCACTTGTAAATGGCCTTAGGGGTCTATGTACACTGAAATATGACGTGTCTATGTGTTGTGTAACTCGTCACAGTTACAGTGAATAAAAGTGGACACAGAATGACACATAATGTTTTATAGCCACATCACAATGACAGAGTCTTCAAAGGATATTCTGGTTGTGTGGTGTGTGAGAGTATTTAATTTCCATTAAAACAGTGGATTGTCCCATGTTTGTGTTTTGTGTAATCTGTGTTCCGAAGTAGCACTGGAATTTCTACTCTTCTTTACAAACTCTTCCACCACATGATTCAACAAGAACCTAAAAACAAATGAATTCATGGTTGGTTCATCATGACATAGACATTTTGAACCATCAAACTCACACACTTACTTTTCTCACAACACTTGATATAAAAATAAATACTATATATATGTACATGCATCCAAAGACATACAATATTATTGAATATTTAAACAAGATGAAGCCTTTTTACTTAGGTGACCAGATGGCACATTTCCAGTTCAGCATTCAATATACGTATATCGTTAAAATATCCACTGTTTTTACCTATGAAATAAAAAAGGGGTACAGTCATGTATTTATTGTGAAGGTTGTCTAATTAAATGACGACTTCCTACCTTTGAAGCAGTCATGAAGTCCTATTGTCTATCTATTTCTCAGTTATTTATATTCCTTTAATTCGCAAGGGTCCACAGATTAAAAGCTTTAAAAGCATTTTTCATAAAAGGTTATGAATATTGTGGCGTGAAGTCCATTGCAGAAAGTCGGGCAACTTCTTCTTCTTCAATTCTTCCAACCTAAAAACATTTCGTTTAAGTTCTGGCAAGGGGCTTTGGGTATGCTTGCTTTTGTTAGTTTACTGCCTGGTTATGAACTCCTAACCAATGAGTGAGCCAGCTAACCTGTTCTCTGCCTGGAGACAACAACAACAAAAAAAGAAAATCTGATTGGATAAGTCTATTTTGATGGTCTTCGCTTCACTTCTGAATCTGCTTTAGCTAGCACCCAGCCCCCTCTGTTGAGTGTAACACTAGACGTCTGTTTTTAATTACAAACGTTAAAAACGTGGATATTTCCGGGGACAGCTCAATCCAGGGACAGGCCACCAAAAACGGGGACTGTCCCTGGAAAACAGGGACATCTCATAACCCTACTCTTTACTCTTCTGTCACCTGTCTTACAGCATCATTGATCTTTTTACATTTACACATCAGCAAACTCCAAATGAGTAAAACAGCTGCTACTGAGATGATGAGCATGCTGAACTGACAGAGGTAAAACAGCTGGAGGATAACTCTCAGTGAGCCTGCTGGTAGACTACTGTTAATATTGAACATGCCTGATCAGCCATATCAGTACTGTCATCTGCACACTTCCCTTTAAGGTGTTTAACGTTGTCGTAGAAACAGTAAAAAAAAAAATGCAGAACCTTGAGTCCAGCCCTTTGAAACCTTTGATGAGCTTATAACTATTGTTTTCTTCAAATTTTACTTTTGTGTAACAATAGTACATCAATGTTATTAACTGTTGCCCTGCTGGTAGGCTGACTGTACAGAAACATAATGTATGATGGGAAAATTAAACATCATTCTAAATGAGAACAAAAGCATTATTCTTTATGTGATAACTGATGCAGGGGCCACATTCTCTATACATGGACAACCTATTGAGTTTTTGATGAATTTATTTATTTTCTGTAAAATTTAGACTAAACTGCCTCATATAAGAGTCCAACTAGAAGTCATGTGGTCCACTGACAGGTTCACCTGGTCCCGTCAGTACACCTAGATGACCTTGACTTTGACTTCACTTTTTAAACAGCACTTGAGATGATGAAGGAAGTGATGATGATTGAAAAGGTCAGTGTGGGTGGATGTCCAGCAGTGCTGCTGAGAGGTGAGGTGATGGAGAAGATGGCGTCTGTTTCGTTCCATGGCACCGGTAAGTTACAGATATTTCCCTCACAGCAGGCTGTGCACACCTGGACAGGAAGACACACGTCTCAACACAGTGCTAACATGCTCAAGTAGCATGTAGGCATGGCTGCTTGTGTCTGAACCATTGATTGGAGCAGCTGACCTTTTATTAGGGACTCTATCAAAATCACTAGGATTACATTTATATTTACATTTACACTAGATTTACCTTTATACTTATACTTATATTTACATTTACATTTATATTTACGAGCGAGTCAGTGACGTCATATTATAATCTACATTATAACTTTGAGTTATTTCCTTTCTATTATGAAGCTGAATCAAGTGAAGGTTTGAAACAAGATGATGTGTGTGTGTATTCAATGTTTCTCTAAACTTAAACATCCTGATGTTTCTAGGTTATTCTGACCCTGCTAACTAATAAGTAATAAGTAAATGATTTGCTCCCCACCTTTTTTCCTTCATGGTCCATGTCAGTGCATCCTGTGGAGAGACATGCCTCTGGAGCCACACAGCGCTTCGTCACTGACACGCTGTCACCCTCCACGTCTACTGTGTGGCGAGTGTAACAGTATTTAGCTTCTGAAACACATGGAAAATTCAAGCACAAGATGAAGATAACAACAGCACTGGTAATTTCCTGCTTTATATACTGAGAGGGTGGGTGAACTGTGTCGTATCAGCCATATACAATCTAAAATGTCTCAGGGTTTTAATGAACTCTCTAAACCTTTCCAGTAAAACATGGAGACACTGAGAAACAGCCATATCCCTGAAAGACCAGCCTCAGGCCAGGTCCACTACTGTGTGTACTGGACCTGGTCTGAGGCTGACTTCACTGGGATGATTGGAGGCTGCTGTAAACGGGTTGTAACAGGTCTCTTTGTCTATGAGTATTCACAGTTTATTAAACCTGGAAGCTGAGGACCAGACTCACTAAGAAAATGGTGCTGTGTAAATATTTTTTTTGAGTTTGTGTTCAGAATCTGATTGACTGAGACAGCAGATCCTGGACTGAGTTTAGGACTCCTTCAGAACCAATTTAGTGGGTGCAAGTGAGATTTCATGTTATCAGAGCGGAGCAGGTGGAGATGTTGTTGTCAACACTAAAACAATTAAATGTGTTCAATGTTCAAAGAAAGCAGCCTGGAGTGATTTATCTTCAACACAAACCCCAACTCCCACCTTGTATGAAGGGCAAAACATGACACAAATATAAATAAATAAATAAATAATTAAATACATGAATAAATGCAAAATAAATACATCTTGGTAATGAAAACACTTTCTGTTTTTGACATGTATTTATTTATTTGTTCATAGATGTATTTATGTCTGTAGTCTGGAGAAAGGGTTGTTGCTGAACAACAGCCTCTGTGGCCACAACATGTGGGGAAATGCTAGAATGCATGTAACAGTAGAGAGGACAAAGTCAGTGAAGTTAGTTACAGCAGCATCTACAAGTTTGCTAACATTAGCCACAGTACGCTACAGGTTATATCAGTGATATACAGCGTGTGATTTCACTTCTGAGGAGAAGAGTGTGTCATTTAACAGATGTTGGTCTAATGTGGTCTCACCACGAGGACAGTACACGTCTGGAGCCCAACGGTTGCACTCAAAGTTGTCTTGTGCATCTTCACAGGTGAAGCACTTGAATCCACCAGGAAATGGAGTACCTGTGAAAAGACCAAATCAAACCATTAAAGATTTTTTCGATTGCATAAACACTAAAATCAAAAGTATTACACAGTTATCAAAACCTTACACTCACGGAGCAAAACATCGGCCCAGATTTGCACCACTATAAGCACAAAGTCAGCCTCACACTTTTTGCAAAACAATACACACAGTCATTTGAAAAACACTAAACACATTTGTATATATTAGACACAGAAGTATATCATGATGTCACTTCCTTGAAATTCCAAAATACTGACTGTGAAATTACCACACCTATGAGCCAATTGGTTAAACACAGCCATCAGGTGCGCAAACACATAATTGCTTATTTGTAGACACACCAATCAGGTTAAGCACTATAAAAATGCAGCACATGAGTTCACCTGTCTTCAACCAAAATGGAAGGAGTCAGAAGAAGAAGAGTGAGGGTGAGAGGGGGAATCCATGGCGGAGGAGAAGGAGGTAGAGGAAGAGGAAGAGGCGGAGGCTGTGCCAGAGGTAGAGGCCGAGGTGGAGGTAGAGGAAGAGGAAGACCTGAAGCAGGAGGAGAACATGCTCAAAGAAGAAGACCAGGGAGGAGAGCGTCCTTGTTGACCATCTGCTGGGATCAAAAGGCTGCATGTTTGTTTCCCCATTTGGCTCGAGACCAGACCTCTGATTGGCCCCTCCTCTGTACCCCACCTCCTCCCATGTGACAGCGGGAGGTCAACAGGTCAGACAACACTTCATCCATAACGCCTGCAAGACCACAGTCCTTCCATCAACTCCCAGCATATCTCACCACAGCTCCTTACTACAGACTAACAAATGTGACAAGTGTGTGTGTGTGAGCCAGGGCAATAACTCAGCTGGGTACATGTGTGTGATCGGACCACAATACACCACAATACAACACAATACAACACGATACACCAGAATAGAATGATACACATCTCCAGTAAGACTGAGGTAAATCTGGAATTCAGCCAGATATCAAACTGGTCCATCTTTATTAGTGCTACAGGTGCTCAGCTCCGAGGCTCCTCTACAGCTAGAATAGCTGAGAGGAGTGCCTCGTAACTCGTCCTGCAGCCTTGAGAAAACCCCGGTAATATATACATCAAAACGTGTGTCTTGATCCCGAAAGAGGTGCTATGACTTTTGGTGTTAAAATTCCAATTTTTCCCAAAGTTATTCCCAAAATACTGGGAATAAATAATGCATTAGGAATGCATTGGAATTTTCTTTAAAAACCCACAAAATTTCACCTTTTTTCTACAAAATTTCATCTTTTTTCTGAGTCACCCAGCTCTCTCATACCTGCACGTAGAAATGTGATTCAAACTATAAAACGGAGGAAAACTTCTGCTCTCTCAAAAATACAGCAACTGTTTTTACATAACATGTAAACTTTTCAAACTATGAGCACTCAAAGGAGGAGTGGAAATCACTTTTTCTTCAAAGTTAGAGTGACAGCGTCAGTTGGCTAGAGTGCGTGAAGCAGTAAAAAATAACCTTTATTTTTATTTTTAACTCGAGCTCACGGCCAAACCGTAAAAAGGAGACAAATAATTCTTTCTGAAAATGTAGACATAGTTGTTGGGATTCATAAAATGTAACTTTGACAGGCAGGGTCTGCACAAAATTTAAACGGGGGTGCCGAGTCCGGCAGCAATACCTGTCTCACTCTCATTGACACCTAATGTAATCGTCTTTTTTTTTTCAAAAGAATCTCACTCTGTCTTCGCACTGAGCTTACTCACTCATTTTAAGGAATATCTGAATAAAATAGAGACCGTAAGAAACTTCTGGCTTCAGTGTCTCTCACGGTGTTTTCGGTTTTTGAAAAGAAGTAACGGTTTTCTCATAATTTACAATTGTTTGAAGCCATGTGGAAGCCAAATTCTGGGCAGATTTTCACATTGCTATGGCAACGGCAGCTCCTGACCTGACCTCTGACAGCCAAGGGCTGCGTGAGGTCATCGCTACAGTGACACAGAGAAGATTTTTTACCCTAACCCTAACCCTATCCCGGCAGTAGCCTCCATGGCACTCAAAATTTCCCTGGAATTTTCTAGTTATGATTATTGTTTGTTTTTTACTTCCTTTAACTGCCACTGAACATCTCATGTTAACTTCACATACTGATGTGTTGTAGGAAAATGAAGAACTCTTCAGTGTCTAAAGTTATTTTCCACAGTGATGATGGATTATAAAGAAAAGTCCCTACAGTTTATACAGAACACAATCCAACTAATGAGTGGAACAGACACTTGTAGGCTTAACAGCATCGTAATCAATACAGGGCAACAATAACTGATCAATAAATGAAGAGAGACAATAACTAATGTTACAATAACCAGTTATGAGAGGAGCAGCTCTTCAGCCTTTAATCAGCTCTGACTGACTGACACTGATGTGTGTAACACTGCCGTGGGCTGAGACAGACAGACAGTGTGAGGACACTCACTGGAGGGGTGGAGGGATACAATATCTTGTTCAGTGAAGTCTCTGGTGTTGGTGCTCTTCAGAAGATCCACCATGATGGTCAGCAGCAGGACCCAGGCCACTGCAGACCAGGGCTCCATGGCTGCTTCCTGGTTTCACTCATGCAGCTCTCTGATTGGTCAAGATCAACCACACACCTGTAAAACACAGAGATCTGTAGGTTAATGGTCTTGAAATAAAACAACAACTGCGTTATTTATTTTCCAATAGTCTGTGGTGATTTCTAGTTTGGATATTGATCTGATATTGATCTGATATTGATCTGATATTGATCTGACATTGATCTGTGGTGTATCTAGTCATTGCTCTGGTGTTTTCACAAACATGGTAACCAGTACTGTCTCTGTTGTTGCTCATGATTAACACATTATTTAACTGTTCTTCCTCCCTGTTACTGCCCTTATCAATAACTAATGTTCATAAATATAGCAATATCCTTTTATTCCTGTGTTTAAATCCCACTTTGACCACAGCAAAGAACTAACAATTCAAGTTTTCAAATGTCTGAAAACATCAGTAGAGTAGTAGTGATGAGTGTTTCCATCATCTGAGCTCCACTTACATTCATCATTAAAGGCACAGTATGAACACAGGGTGACACAGGACCTGCTCTGTTATTGTTGTGGTTTATACTTCTCAGTTGTGTGAAGGCAACCTACAAGAACTGCTTGTTTCTGCAGTTGTCATTGATGGATCAAACTGAAAGACCTGCACCAGTCTGGAGTCTGGACTTGTATTCCTACACAGAAATGGAAGAATCAGGATTTAACGTTTCATGTAACTTGTGTTTCCAGTCACACAACCCCCTTTGTTCACATTTTGTTTCAACGTTGTTTTTAGGTATGTTTATATCACCCAGTGTTTAAAAACACTGGAAAGAACAGGCTGCAGAGCCTCCGTCACTCACAGTCACATCCAAATAAACTAAACTAAAATAAATACAACTAAAATACAATCCAACTTTAAGTCTAATTCAATCCATTCACTGAACTAAAGCTATACAAAGCTAGTGTGACACAATAAACACAGATCATTTAGGCTGTTGATCCAGTGTGATAAAACGTTAGCGGTGCAGTCACCATCTGTTCCTGCTCCTTCTGACCTGCTGACAGTGTATGAGTGCAGCATAAAGCCAATGTAGGGGCATCACATGCCTCCTCACTGACTCATTGATTCCCACAGTACTCCACTTATCAGATTCCTACCTGAGCTCCAACCACGGACTCAGTATTTACAGTCTGCCGTTGGTTACCTGGTGACCCGTGATGTCATTTTACCGATGAAAACAGTGGTCAGACGTAACGTGGGCAGGATGCTGCAGTTCTCCATCAGTCATACATGAGACGTTCAGATACAGTAGGGACAATAGGTCAACTGCGTTTTAGCAGTGCTCAGAGCCCAACACAAAATCACTGTCATTGTAAAAGACATATCAGAACCAGTAAAACATGACCCAGTACACAACCTTTGTAGATGGTGGGTTGATTAAAAGAGCAGTAAATCTGTTATATCAAACACAGATGACTGAAAAACATGGCTGACACGCTCTCTGTGTAGTCGTGCCATCAGACCCCCACCCTGGCACTAACTTTATTGTCCTTTTGGATATTGACAGCTAACTTACAGGTACATTAAGATTCTTCTTTGTCAGTTTTTGCTTTTATTTGACAGTCAGAGGCAGAGCAGTGGATGGTGGGCGGGGTGGAGGTTGGGGCAGTGGCAGCACAGTTACTGTTGGTTGTGTTTCATCAGTGTTAGCCTCTATTATCTGTTGACATAATAATTTGAGGATAAATTAAAGATTGAGGACGTTCCCATGGGAGGATGGGAGGAGCCTTCATCCTTGTTTACTCCAGCCAACAGAGCAGTGACTGGGACCAGGTTCATCCATCACCCTGCAGGTAAAGTCAGGCCAGACCGAGTCCTCTGTGAACACTGGCTTATTCAACAGCCAGGATACATGGGAAAGCCTGTCCTATAGACAACACACTGCTTTGACATGGAAGAAAACAAATGGAGACATCTGAACATTTGTCACATGCACTTGACTCCGGCCCTTTGTGCACTTTTCTCCAGCACAGACAGATGCATTGAAGGCCCTGCTGAAAACTGGACGGGCTCATTATCAATGAGCTGAGTCAATGAGCAGCTCACAAAGACTCCACACAGGTTCATACTCTGTCTCACACACACAGTCGGCCACACATTCATCTCTGGAACTCCCTGACTGGATCAGCTCCATATAGATATTTATTTAAAAACATCCAGCATCCACACAGCTCCACAGGTCTGACAGGCTGCACGTTAGGACAAAGGAGCTATGAGAAAGCTCAAGTATGAGAAAAGAATGTCCCCATGTCCTGAGTCAATCCCCATAAACTCTCATGTTAAAATGTCCAACTTTACAGCAGAGATAAACATGTTTACAGCCTGGTACAAAAACAGTTTTGGTCTCTGAAGCTAATTTCCTCCTTCATGACAGACTGTACGGGGGGTGGAGGTGGGGGTATTTATAAATGGGGGATGGCCTCTTCGAGTGACAACTCCAGCTCCACACATGCCCCTCCTCTTTGCCATTTTTAGATTAGCTGGGAGTTAGGGGCGGAGTCAGGCACTGCCAAGATGGTGATGGTGGAGCAGCTCACTCTGAGCTTCAAAATCGGCCTTCAGAAACCTGTGGGTGACCTCACAGAGGCTAAGTCCATCTTTATTTACAGTCTATGGTAGAGACATGAGGCAGGATACTATGGATCATTATGAAGGACCTGGAAGATGGCTACAGCTGCAAAGGTCCTCAAACTGGCTGTAGTTTACTGGGAGCTGCACAGGTCAGAGCATGGCAACAACACAAGAAGACTGGACTATGCCGACTGGACATCGAAGTGACGTGTTCAGCCCGGCTTCTTGACTGACCCTGCACTGGAACAGTTTACATTAGTAACTGGCAGCTGTAAATTATTCGTTTCTCATTTTAAGTAAAGGATATATTTATCTAACATAATTTATTTGATCTAGTTTTTTTTTATGGAGGATGTCATATTTTTGAGAAATATCATTTATACACCATCACATTCTTTACTTTTCAAACCTGTGTCTTCAGACCGACGCTGATTCAAGTGAAGACTTGAGGACATTTATCAATCTTCTCACAGCTCCCTCTGGAGACACTGAGGGCTTTTTTTATACACCCCAACACCTGGAAACACAGTGTGCTGAAGAAGGGTTCATGTAATACTCATGAATTTAACTTTTTATCTGAGAGAATGTGTTGTTTCATTGTTTCACAGCCTGATTTACTGACTGTTCACTGACAACATATTTTAGATAGATAGATATATACTTTATTTATCCCCTACGGGAAATTCATGCATCAATGACTTTCTCAGGAAGCAGAAGCTCCTGAAACAGCTGTGTCTATGAGTTTATAACAAAGCAGGAAAGAAGACGAGCCCTGTGCCCTCTGACTTTTTCTTTAGCTTCTGCTCTCTTCAGGCTTTTCTGCCTCATCTCAACACAACACGCTGCAGGTCAGAGCTAACATTATGTCACGAAAGTTGATGCCAGTATCCTGTGGTGGTGAAAAGTGATCAGTCACAAGAACAGCCACAGAGCCACAGGCTGCAGAGTCACAGTCTCTTGTAACACACTACCTTCTGACCTGTGCACAAAGCAGCAGGTCAGTCTGCAGCCATGCTGGACTCTGACCCCGCTGCATCGTGTTTCCTACCTAAGATCTTTATCTGAGGTCTCCAGTGTGTTCACTCTAGGATCAGGGCACAGGGTACATGTACAGAGCTGAGTGATGGACTGACAGAGTGGCCTGGATAATAACATCCCTACAGTGAAGCATTGGGGGTTAGTACCATGCTATAGGGGGGCTTCTCAGCAGCAGGGATGGGTGGACTGCTCACAACTGAGGGTAGGGTAAATGCAGCCAAATACAGAACAAAATCTGATCCAGAGTCCAGGTTCACCTTTCAGCTCCACAATGACTTGAAGCAAACAGCCAACACTGGAATTTACAGAGATTTCTAAACATGTTTTCACTTTGTCATCAAGAGTTATTGAGTGTAGACTGATGGTAATTTATCCAAAAAAAAAAGGGATCTACAGCACAATGGGCTGGTGGGTCATCTAAAAAGTTTCTTTGGTCCCTGTCAGTGTCTGACAGGTGTGTGCTGGGACTGTGCTCACTGACCAGTCACAATATGTTGTCAACCCTCACTGATCTGACCTTAGTCAGTTAAGGTTGGTATTTGTTTGACACGATGTGAAGCAATGGAGCTGTGTGTATATTTAAGGTTCCTCTCCATTTGTATTAAACTCCTTAAAAATCCTCTGCTATGATTCATATTTAGTTTAACATGGTTTTCACACATGGGTGTGAAGCTCATCTCCTCTTACTTCCTGATTGAGAAACCTGGATCAGGCCTTGTGCCCCGCCCACCACCTGTTTGCTCCAGGTGGACAGGTGAAAGAGCAGAGAGCATCAAGATGGTTAGAGGAGGAAACATCAGAGAGACTCAGCCACATGTTTGAGCCTCAGTCAGACCCAGACTCAGATGAGGAGTCTGTTGAGACCAGAAGACATATCAGAACAGTTAGCGTAGTTAGCATCTTTTATTTGGTTATGTTGTTTGTTAGCTTGTAACTGGCAGTGGCTGACACAGTGTTAGTGGTTGTGCTAATGCTCTCTGTACTTACATGGTTTCGGGTGTATTTAGCCCCGCCCCCCGTCCCCACAAGTTGACAGGATTGGTTCCTTAGGTTTGTGACGTATGAAACCCTGGCTGTCTGAATCTGTGTCTATGAGACTCTCATTGGTTCACTGCAGTTCAAGGTGGAAACACTCAGTCATGGTGTTGATTATTTCACTCATCATGTCTTATATAAGTATATGGATATTAACAAGGTTAAACACTTGATTTTCATCAGAAGGGGTTATTTGTCATAAAATAAAAATCTGCAAACGTGCTTTTAAACAATAATACAGCAGGAAACAACTATTTTCTACGTAAAGATATAGTGGAGTTATGGTGTCCTGAGCAGAGAACAAAGTCACCCCCCCTCTGTGTGTGTGTTGTAATCTGAATTTCTCTGTTCTTTGTTTCAT